GCCTCAAGTCTCGAAGATTTGAGGAAGTTCCAGATGAGACGACTAAGTCTCAACTATTAGAAATCAATTGGCATTCCTCGTGACCGTTAGGGATCCGAAACCGTCTGATTCGTCGGGCGAAGATACCCATCTTGCGCACTCACCCATCCTAGGCTCACGTACAACGCGGTGACAGCGCATCACACGTTTCAATTCTACGTGTGATACGTCACGTACGTGGTACGGTTCCACCAATGCCTATACGAATATGGCTCGATATTCTCCATTACGACGATTCAGGCATCTTGGCTACACTGATAACGATATGCTAGACCTATCCAAACCTGAGCAGATGCACTTGATGACTTGTGCTATCTATACAGATCACTCCTCGACAGTTACGTGCCAACACGGATAATCCGTCACTCATCCGTCCCATATGCGTGACTCAAAGAGGGTAGTTTACGCGTACACTTCGACACGCCGAAGCAGAACGAATTGCTCATCCCAGTGGCTTACAATGAAACTCCTCGTTACATCATTCTGGTTCTTCTCGTGCGACCTTCTCTACGTTGAAGCAGAAGTGGACGAAAATGGTCATTTCCGTGGGCTCGGTCCTGTGAACGGCGATCCTAACGACGAATACTATTACATGCAGAAGGCTTATCTTGAGGCCATCTCTGTACCGGAGGCTTGGGGTATCCTGGACTCTACTCCCAAGAGAACACCTGTGACCATCGCAGTTATTGACGACGGAATCGAGGCCACTCACCCTGACTTGAAGGGTACCGTCATCAAGGGCTACAACGTCGTTGATAAGAATGATGATACCAGTCCTCGAGGAGAGCATGGAACCAGCATGGCTGGCATCATTGGTGCTATCAGAAATAACAAGATCGGTATGGCGGGTATTCTGGACAATGTGCGCATACTGCCCATATTCGACGGTGAAAAACCGACTATTCCCACACTCGAGGATGCTTTCACCTACCTGATCAATGAGAGGAAAGATGATGTGAAAATTATTCTCATGACGGAAGGTTCCGATTCAAAGAGTTCCCAAGCCCTTACCGACAAGATTCTGGAAGCAAATGCAGCTGGCATGCTCGTTGTCGTCACGGCAGGGAATAAGCACCACGATTTGGACATAAATCCAGACTTCCCTTGTTCCTTCGGCCGTTCACCCGCTGATGGAGTGTTATGTGTGGCTGCAACGTCTCGTACCAAGATGCGGCTTACGGTTGAAAGCAATTTCGGTTCAGCTGTTGACATTGCCGCTCCAGGTAACAAAATATTCGAGACTGTTATCAAAGGACAGTATGCCACAGCTAAGGGCACTTCGGAAGCCGCCGCTATCGTAGCAGGTATAGCTGGGATGCTCTACAGCCTTGAACCTTCTCTGAAGACCAAGCTGACCCCTGCTTACATCAAAAGTATCATCAAGGATACGGCCACCCAAGGTCTTAAGGACAGTAAAGGGGTAAAGACTATGCCATTCGGCCGCGTGAATGCTGCGGCGGCTGTCAAGAAGATACTTGGGGAGAAAGAAGGTTTAAGTTTTCACTCTGACTCCGTCTCATGATGATGGAGTCAATGACACCGAGTCATTGATAACTTGTTCAGTGAACTCTCGTCTAGCTCGATGGTCTCTCTTTTGCTGGATAAATTATTTATTTATTCGATTCATTCAGTGTAAATGTGAAGGTCTGATCAGACCTGATCATCATGACGCTGAGGATTTGATAAAGATGATTTTTTACGCCCAACTGTTGAGTTTTGAATTCGCGTCGTGAATTTGTGTCTGGGTCTGTCTTACTTTGGTAGCCAAGTATTGGCTCGGTGTTCCAATTATGAACTGTTCTGGGAGATGCTGGTGCATAATCATCGATCGCTGTCCCAATCTCCCGTAGCACACAATGTGTCTCTCTCGGGTGAAGGAATCCCTTAGCTGAGCTTACGGTGAATATTTTCCACATCGATTAAGTATCATCAAGCTGCGGTTTACGGCATTCCCTGCTATTATATCCAGTGAAGTGTTATCCCAATAGGTAAATCATTAACAGTTGTGAAGCTGCGAACCTCCGAGCGATTCGCTCGGAGGTTCCCATCATAGGCTCCTTGGTCTGGAGCCCTCATAAGTTGGTATGTGAACGTGCGGACCTTTTTGGCCGATTTAATCAGATGAAACCGACATACGCCATACCATGGCCGCCGTGGGACCGTCCGTAGGGGGATAATGAAAATAACCAACCTTGCAATCTCATAGTTCTTAAACAGCTTGTGGCTCTTAGACAAGGGCCCGGTTTTTATAATCACATGTTAGCTATCTTTATCAACACAAGTATGTGTTGTAAGAAACATCAGTAAAAGCAATAAATTTCACCACCAAAACCTTGATGGTAAAAAAGTTACACCACTCCGTAACACAAAGAAAGTGGTGACATTGACCCCTTATGTGATGAAGAAACACGTGTTGGAAACTATCCCAGTGAAAAAAAACGATTTTCCCAGCAGAGAGACCAGCTCCTTGCCTAACAGTCGGGTGTAGAAGTCTGCTAGTATCGATCTATCACTTCGCAGTTAGTCGTATCGGTCTCAATGACTTTTTTGTATCATCCTGTCTTAGTTTTTTCCAAGAATTGCTCAAGTTGTGTTGGTCGGTCTCCAGCTAACTCGGTTTATCAAGCTACAGTCCCGCCGCTGTTGGTGTGACTGTTCACTATTCACTAAGCGCAAGAACTGGCTCGGCTGTTATCAATTTTGAAGTCGGAAATTGAGTCGGGTGGCGACAGGAAACCTCTGCTCTTGGAAATTCATCGTTGGTGATGTTGTCTTATGAGAGATTGAGTAGACTCTATTTCACTGGTCAGCAAGGAAGCCGGTTCGCCTTCGTCTGGAACACTCCGGAGATTGTTTCATGCGATCAGCTGGGCATTCGGGGTTGGTCAGCCAGTAATCGGTCTCGGGTGGCCAGGCTGGTTAGGGCCCCTAACTTAGGGGGAGTGGAATACTCCGAGATTCCCAGGCGGTGCTCCTCGATTCACGTAATGCAGAAATGCTCGATCTGAACTACACGAGCATTTCTATACTGACGAGGAGTCTACTACTCCAAACTACTGAACGAGCCTAAACGTAGAAGGCACAAGGTTATCCTCTGCATAAGACCACTGAATTTACACTACCAATATGGACTTGTGCGTAGCCCAAACGAAAGTGCCTTGTTCATGAACCATTTACCTTCATAAGTATGGCATAGATAAGGGCTATCCAAAGGATTTACAAAAATGTGCCTGAACGCACTCGAACTGTATATTTGCGCTATTGATATACCTGAGTGTTCAGACAAAACAGACTGAATTAGACTGAGTAAATCAAGATAGGATGGTAAAGGCCAGCTTTCAGACTGGTGTAGTAACCCGTTAAGTCCAGACCGACGATGGTCCTCCACAAGCTCCAGTATAGGACCCTCCAGACATTTTCGGTATTGCTCCCAACTTACATTTATGTTGGACCGTACTTGAAGCCACCTCTACTAGATAACCAAGAGCCACCTCCTTGTGAATGACATCTAACACTGCTTGGTGGACTGATGGATCAGACACCGACCTATAGTTGCCTTCTGACTACACTAGAGATGGTGGTTCATCTAGCCGACGGTTTGAATGGTGGTAGTAGATTCTCTGAGGATATACGGGGGATTTCAGAACTAAAGCCCACGTTAACTCCTTTATTCAAGGCTGAACTCAAGAAGACGTCGACATCACCTATTTCTATCGCCAGAGTTGACAATACCCAAGGTCGGAGAGCACCTCCGACCTCGGCCCTCTTTGTGCACAGTCCAGAGTCTTCCCAAGTCGAGAGAACCTCTGCCGCTACCTGTGACGTAGAAAGTTCAACTTGACGTTGATGCTCGGGTGATAGCTGACCAGACGACCGCCGAAGGATATCGGGTAACTCTGATTGAAGAACCGAAGAAATTAGAGCCTGTAAGAGAGGGCAGTGGTGGTTCTTCTTCTGAGCGGGGACAAAAAGGAAACCTGATCCATCTTGGAACTTGGTTTGTCTCTCGGATCTTTCCGAAGTCAACAGTTCATGCGACTCGTGGACGACGCGTTCCACATGGCTCGGGATCCACACTGTGGATTCCACAGATGATCCTTGAACATCACAGAACTGGTTCCCGACGGAGAGGAATCCGCAACAGAATGCAGAACTTTTTTCACCGAACGGCGCACCTTTGGATATGTGCCTCGTCGTGGCATCGCGGCCCTAGATTGTGACTAGAGAGAAAACCAGTTCAAGTTGAACTGGTATCGGGTAAGCTTAGATCATTTTAGCTACCAGAGGCTAGTTGAACTGTTCAACTAGCCTCTCATCTCAACACATTACTCTTTCACTAAGACAGAAAATAACATTCAATGTGCGAACTTATGGCACATTTTTTATTAACTCTTCCTGTCCGCAGCACTTAGCTGCACAGGGCCAAGGTTCTTCTCACATACGTGATGAAGAACCCGAAGACTGCTTAGTAGAAGAAGGCTTCTTAGATGGCGGCGGCGTAGGACTCTCCCTCTTGTTAAAGTCATGAGAGAAAGCACATGCATCCCCAAACTTGCATTGTCCACCATAACGTAATGCATATCATATCTTCCGCTTATTCGAGAGGTGCGACGCTCGAGAGTTTGCTGACGACAGCGCTGCCGAACTTGAAGAATGAATGCTTGGAGTCGCCTGTGACTGGTTTGTTGCGCATATCCCTGACCACAACGACGGATCTTTCTCCGAACGGAGTAGGCTTGCCACTTCACACCCCTGAGGATAATAACCGTTAAGTTTGGCACGATAGGCCGCATCATATCTGTAAGCCCCAGAAAAGCCTCCAATAGTCGCAAACCTCATTATACGGTCAGCATATACTAAGAGACTGAACGGATCTACCGAGAACTTGTCCTCTCTCTCTTTAGAGCTAACCATGAGTAAAGCTGTCGCCCAGACACAGAAGGCAGAGAACCAGTGACTGGTTACCAGTCACTGCAGAAACCAATTTTCCCGGGTTTGTTGTTGTTCTGGACTGCCACCACTGATCCGTCCAAGCTGACCTCATATCTGATAGCTGAGGCAGGCGTTTGATTCCGAGGCGGGACCGATTCTGCAAAGTCCGAATACGTCAAAGGAGCTACGTATAACCTCTTCATATGCCTTGGCAGAGAAAGGAATTCTGGAGGAGGTCCATCCTTCACCGTTTTTGGGCAGGCCTCGACAAGAGATCGCAGCAAGGCATCGGGCTGACCGGGTAGTGGGACCACATCGTCGTTCATAGATACCACCAACTTTGCAGCAGCCTTCAACGCGAACGCAGTGGTGCGTGTGGTAACAGTGTCCGCCTTAGAGGAAAACGCCGTTGTGAGATCTTCATCACCCACCGCTGCCAAAAGATGTACCGTAGTAAGGCCTAGTTGTGAGAGTTTTCCTCGGACAACATCACTGGCTTTCAACGATAGCAGTAAGCATTGCATATCTTGATCGAAGTCAGCCATTTGATATGTTGGGCGGGTTGGCGGAAAAAATAATATTATCAAACTAAAAAGACAGGCCACATTCAACTTCTCTTGGCCCCATTGGTTATTAGCCTAGCTTCCTGGCCACACAAAACTTTATCAATCAGCGCTCGCCTCGATCAGCGCTCGCCTTGACTCTGGACTATCCTCCCTTTTGTTGCATTGCAAACAACTTTGGTCACCGTAGCTGGTGACCTCCAACTAAATACATTTTTCTAAGGAAAAGTGCAAAAAATTAAGGAAAGATTCTCGCTCGCCCGTTTTTTAGCAGATTTCTAAGGAAGAGTGCAGATTTCTAAGGAAGGAGCGCGTCTAAGGAAAAATGCATTTCTGAGGAAATATCGAAGAGATCCTTGTCTCTAGAGAAAGGTCATAACGTGGCCTAGGGTGACAGCTTAGCCTTGGGTTACAGTTTGGCCTTGGGTTACGCTTCGGCCTTGGATAACAGTTCGGGTTTCTGGTTGCCCCATCGGGTTTCGGGTGGGGTTTCGGGTGTCCCTTTCTCCACTTCACTTGCAGTTCTTAGTTTTTTTAATTATTATTTGGACTTGGCCAAGGGCCTAAGCTTTGGTCTAAGCCTTGGAAGGCTCATTGAACAACTGTTCAGCTAGTCTTCGTTGATACCATTCGCGGGGAGGGAGGTCTGAGCAGGCTCTCCTACGTGGGCGTGTCTGTCTCTTCTCGTTAGAAGATAACCAGTGAGTCACTGGCAGTGACGTTGACGGAGGGGGATCCAGCGATAGCGGGTAGTTGGAAAGGGGGCCGCCGCAGGGTCAGAGCTCATGCGGGAAAGTAATTCTCGGCAGGTAATAGTTGCGGCTAGTTCGGTTGTCTGTTTGTCTATCAATTCAACTGGAAACGGTGTAAAGGGCGAACGAGGGTTTTCCTTAGTTTTCTATTCTCTTCTTTAACTGTATATCCGTTTCCTTAGTTTCGGTTAAATCCAGGGCGAGCGAGATTATTCCTTAGTTTTTTGCACTTTTCCTTAGAAATCTGCTATTAGCCGGGGAGGGTCCCGTTCGAGGGAAAGCGCTACTTCCGGGGTCCGGGTCTCCCGGTAAAACACTCGCCGCGTAGGCGTGCGCGGATAGCTAGCGTTCGTGCAGGCTGCACGGTGCAGCGTGTACTGCAATTGTGACGGCACGTAATGTCATTACGGTGGTGACGTGACGCGGCAGGGGGAGTGGAGCGTCTCCCCGATGGTGGCTCCCAGTTTCTCGTCTTCACTTGAGACTAGTTCATAAACCTTATCATCATGTCTGAGTTCGACACGTCAATCGGGGATAGCACGATAGAGGAGGATGCGGCATCCTGGATGCCTCTAACAGTGGTCCACACAGCTTCCACGATCGCCATCCTCACATATCGATCACGTAATCGATTGCACTATCAACAGTGATCGCGAATAATTCAAGCCTTCTCCGCATTACCTCAGTCGGGAGCTCATAAGATTATGTAGGTTATGCCTGTGGGCCTTGATGAGAGTCCTATTGCGCCTGATAACCCCTGGACGATCGAAGTGGTGCTTCCTTGATTCTTGTACCGCGCCAATCTACAGCGACAAAACACGAGTGATGTATTCATTGCATTGGAAACTACTCTAGTGGTATAACGCTCTAATTACATACCAATTTCGAGGCTGTGACTTCAACCTGGAGTGAATATTGGGGTTTCACCCGTTTCAAGTGAAGTGGCGTAAAACCCGGTTAGAAACGCGATTTTGCGCTCATTCGTGAAATATGTTTTTCACTAGTTTTTCCTTTTTTCGTGAAGTTTGCAAAGCTCCATTAACAGCTGTGTAGCAGCTGCTTCCCGAAAGGTACTCGCTGCAAGAGCGAGTACTCTTTGCAGCTCCCCGTTTGGTGTTTGCAGTATTCGCTTTGTTTTGTGATGGCACTACATGTCGAAATTGGCATGTCACGCACACAGGTGCACAACACAGAGCAAAACAACAACGGAGGAAAACGATGTACAGCCATTTAAAGACTACAAGTACATTTTCACACCATACTAGAAGAGTGGAATTCCATTCTATTCTAATATTGAGTTCGATTATCGAATTTTGACACAAGTCTGCGCAGCGTAGCTTTGACACGCGATGAGACACGCGCTCCTATCTCCCGTCACAGTGACGGCGTCACTCTATCGCTCCACCTGCCTGTAACCTGAGTATGTAATCAACACCTACTCCTCTGGGCCCCAGAGTCTAAGGAGAAGCATGGTCCCGCTTCAGATCCTACCAATGTACTGTGATGCACATTGCGTGTCAGTTCTTTACGTCTCAGTGGATGCTCCTAGTCTCGCTGCTTGCCGTAGTATCAATAACCTTCGTCGAAGGCTATGCAAATGAAGGGAACATTCGAAAGAGATATGAGGATTTTAAAAGAGAGTATTCAGTATAGATAACTGTGTTGAAACTCGAGTCGCTGTTGTCAGTTACTCGGTCGCTATTCCTCACGAAGAAGATGATTATCGACTCAGTATCTTCAGCCAAACCGTTAAGTTCATAGACGGAATAAACGCTCAAAGTAAGCATATGAAGCCTTCATATGAAAAATGAAACCCGAATCTTCAATGAAAGCCCTAAGGGCCTTCATTTTCAAGATTTTCCAGTCGTTATATCTTTAGATCTATCATATAAGCTGGGTATCAACAAGTATGCTGCAATGACTCCCGATGAGATCTCAGCAGCTAAATGTTGCAAGCTTAAAAGCAATCTTCGAAGTCAGGCCCGTCAGCATATCGGTTTGCAGCTGCTCCATTTCAAGATAATCCGCGGCAATCCTAAATAATGCTTGTCAGATATCTCTGAGGGAAGAATGATTGAGTATCCTCCACATCAGCCACTTAGTGATCTACCAAAGGACTTAAACTGGGTAACGCGCGGTGCTGTGAACCCACCATTTAACCAAAGAGATTGCAACTCATGCTATGCTTCGGCTGCCCTAGGTAGGTTTAACCTACGAATGATATGGAGAGATTGTTGCGTGATTCAGGAGCGATGGAGGGCGCATTCCAGATCAAGACCGGTCATCTGCCTAAATTTTCAGTTCAGCAGATTGTAGACTGTTCTACCCGGTTAGGGAATTAGTAGGTCGAGTCCCCTCAGCGAAGGGCTTCGTTGAGGACACCATGCTAGTATCACTAACTTTTTTCTCAGCGGATGCGATGGCGGTTCGTATAGCGCCACGGCAACTTATGTGAATCTCAATGGGCTTGCAACAGTGTGGTTCACGACTATGACAAAGCATGCCTCGAGGTATCAACTAGGAGAAGGGTTGATGACACACAGTGTGTCACACACTTTAACGGTTTGGTTGTGACCATCGAGCTTCGAGAGTCCAATAACATCTCTCAACTGCAGCAAGGCGCCGGCCTTATCGATCACAACAGTATATAATAGTATTGCCTCTGTTTTAGCCTGGTGACCTGATTAACGGAAGAGGTGCGGTTCCCAAGGAGAGGCTAGATATCCTTATCCAGGAGCTACAATTTGGCCCCATTGCTATCCAAATATTCACCGATACTCCAGCGTTCGACAACTACCGAAGTGGAATTCTAGATAGTAGCTTTAGGAATGCGTCCTACACTGTGTGAAAATTACATCTTCAGTTCCGAATTGTAACGGTGAACCAGATCATGGCATGCTGCTTGTTGGATACGGTGTCGATGGAGGGAAACCGTGAGTAAAGATATACTATTATTGGATGGCTGGAATCGTCGTCAATATTTTGCCGAGTAAGTTGATCGTTCTAGGTATTGGTTGCTGCAAGACTCATTAGGGCCCCAGCGAGGTGAAAATGGATATGTAAGAGTTGCCAGGGACCCAAGTTGGGTCACCCAACAAAGACTCATGGCCCAGGTAACCCTGGACAGGCTCGATGCGCTCAAATCAAAACGATGAGCTGATGGCCTCTTTCAGGATTCTGCAACATGCTATCCGACGAAGCTTATAGGCCCGTTTTGAACAAGGTGCTGAAAGCTAAGGCGTGCCTTGGCTAATCCGCCCGACTCCCACTGCGAATAATGTTGCGCCCTCTCGTCTTGCTATTCACAATCGATTTCTGGCATAGATGGGCAGCGTAACATTTTTCTACGGTTTACGTTACGGCGTGCGTAACGTGAACAGTTCACGGTTACGGAAAGGCCTTACGACTTTACGGTTGGTGCTGAAATGATTTTTTAGAATTGTGGCGGAAAGATCCGCTGTAATGGCATTACAGCGAATCTTTCCAGCTCGAGTGCATTACAGTAATCCACTCGCCGATAGCTCAAATAGTTTTTTATTTCTGGTATATGAGATCTCAGTTGAGTTGTCAGTCTTCGCACGCCTGTAAACTCTCCTGAGCAGAGTTGGATTGCAGGCCCAAATAGTCCTGGTTCTCAACATCTGTAACGAAACTCCCGCTCGGGAACACAACTGTCCCATCTCCTCTGACACCCCACGTTGGCCATACTATCGAATCTTGCGTGGATAGTAACACAATCGCTGTCCCTCTATGAGGAAAACCTCGTGAAGGGATTGGACGATCGATTTCCGCTATTGTGTCGCTCTGTCCCTTTAATTTCTCTCAACCTTGAGTCACTCATCTACTACTAACTACTACTTCCACTTCAACCCTATGTCTAGTACTCAGTCGTCAATTAACGGGGATCGACAATTGGCTTAACGACTATTACGGAACGGCCCAGTGTGTGCCATCGCGTATTTGGTCTAATCCAGTACTTAGCGTCCAATTTTGGACAGAGTTGATGATCAAGTAACGCCAAGTGCCCCGAAATAATTTCGGGGCGTGCTTGCTTTCCTTGATCCCGAGCAGAGGAATTGCTATTCTTGGGTGTTTCACTTTAACTTGGTGCTTGCTTCTCAATCATCTCAAGCCTTCAAAGGCCTTCACGAATAACCCGGCGCACTCGTCTAGGTCTCCTCGACTACTTGTGATACTCGTTCCTTGAGGGTGATCACCCGGAAATTACTCCCTCACTCAGAGACAACGCAAAACAGTGTCTTGCGTGTGGTGTCTTGAAAGCACCACACGGCATGATGAAACTCAATTGTAGAGCTTTAAAACTTGAAAACATGCAGGTGATTGTGACTTCACCCTGAGAGTTATCATCTCTCAGAGTGTGCGCATGAATCGGATGCTGATTCTGCTACTGACCAGCAACCCGATGACGAAACCGACGAAGGGCCCCTTCGAAAGGGGCTGAGACCGTTCAGGAGACCGTTCATCCGGGATGACTTCGCAGATAGCTTCGTAATTGCTGCGACAGCTGCTGCGTTGTCACAGAAAATGGTGACCGGACGATCAACAGGAACGATTGCACAACCGCATAAAACAAGTCATAGTTCTAGGGAACATATGCCCCCGAATTCCCGCCTGTCCCAATTGATAGGTTCAAGTTGAACCGTTCAACCAACTTGCTCATCCTCGATGCACATATCATTGATGCTTCTGATACGTACTTGCTACTGTAATGTTAACGCGACAACAAGGGTACAATAAACGCAACATTGCACGGCTCTCATGCATATTGTGGACGTATCAGCCGCACCGTAGATTCATGTCAACACATCAATTCAGGGAGATGCAGTGTCTTCATTAATATTGCAGTCTAGCCCACGAAGCTCCATATATGTCCTCATACCCAAAAAGTCCAAGATCCTCGGCCGAGCTCTGTTATATCGATCGATTTCAGCTGGTTATTATGACCGTGCTTCGATTCAAGCCAGTTTGCGAGTGCATCATCTTTTGTTCCCGGATGGAATAGCTGTGCGAATACTACTGAGGTACTTGGTGAGCAACAATAGGCATAAATCTTAGTAGCCACGGGGCAAAGCTTCCTATCAACGAGGCCCCAATACTCCGATGCAGTGCGACCGACAACAGAAGCCTGTTTGTGTCCACCTGATCCACAAAATCCATTGAATAGCGAAATACTCTCAACTTCATAACTTCATAATTGCCAACTTCATAATTGCCGTCTGAAGTAGTCCTTCACACGCAAGGCCCAAGGATGTAGGCTCGACTTCGGTTCGATAGAATCATACATATACTTGCCAGTTAGACGTATGGTATCACGAATACTAGACGTCTGCCATGCGCAGTTATTCTGTCAATCCGGAGGATTCATCAGAGACATCCAACCTTCGTTTTGCATGCAACGTTTCAACCTGTTTGAAAGGACGCTCAGTTGCTCACAGAGTCCTGGACTCTGAGTCCAGGAAGATCCTTACCGTCCCCGAATGATATTGAGGCTTCGCTGGGAAAAACTGCCATCAGCTTTGATATCTTCCCAGGCTTCATAAGAGAGACATACTACATCGTATGCCGGAGTATACGGAGCGTCTAGAAGTTTACTGTATATCTTGATGATAGGAGTTAGTGCGACAACCAGGCCAGCGGTTTTATCGAGGTCAGAACTCAGTCGTTCTTCTAAAAACTTCAGCTCCTCGTCCGAAGTTACACTAAGAAAGACTACGGTTATATGTTAATGTGCAACGCCACTGGCTCACCATTTCTCTATCGTACAACGCCACTGGCTCACCATTTCTCTATCGTATACCGACTGTGGACACGAAGTAGAGCTACTGACTCTTGGACTGTTTTCCATTTCTCCACAAGCTACTCTAGAAAGTACAACAATTCTACTGGGCACTTCTCAAAAGCCACGCCTGTTCTGTTGTCGAATTTGATGTCCACTTTGTCACAAAGTTCTCGTAAAACCATACACATATTCTTAATCTCGCAGAACTGGGAGTTTTTCTCAAAGAGGAGACCGCTGATCATGTGGTTGATCTCGACATCAACGGAGTCAACTGCGATGCAACCCTCAGACATCTTCTGAGTCAACTGCGATGCAACCCTCAGACATCTTCTGAGTCAGACTCAGAATCTGAGATGTGATGACTCCTATAATACGAGCTCTTGCCCTTGAATGACAGCCAGTGTTAGTAGTCATGATAGACGATACTGTTACAGCATCTAAAAAGGAAGACGCAATGATCATAGGTCCCCTAGATTCAAGTGACCCTCCATACTACGGTCAGAATAGAGGGACTTGCATTGTTCCACCACGATATCCACTACTTCGTCCTCCAACAAGCTGTCGGTTTTACAGATGACTATGGAAAGCGGCAGGAGCTCGAATCCTTGAGGCACTGCAAAATATGCAGCTAAGCGCACGGTCGTAGCTACTGTATCGAAGTAGAGACCGATACATTGGCCGGCGTCAGAGGCGTGGACTATCTCCATGCAGATACTGTGATGTGCGTCGAGCCGAACTTCCACAGTGAGCTCCTTAATAAGCTCAGCTGTGAGGCTTGCTAGTGAAAATCCGGGCCTCAGAAAATTCAGGGTGCGTTCCATCGTTTTTGTGAGAAACACTTTCTCCAAAGATATAT